TTCAGAATTGCAGCAGAAGCCAGAAGAAGCCATGATATGAACAAGAGACATACAATACAATGAGGCCACAGGAGATTCCTCTCCATTCTCTTACCATTTGCTTAAGTCACTCACTACTCAAATAATCATAAAAATGTTGCATCAAGTTACAGTTAATACTCCTGTCCTTCAATACCATAGCCTAATAACATTGATATCTAACTAAATAGTTTATTTACAGGCTTACCTTGATTTCAAAATAGCTTACACCATACATCTCAAGATCTTGTGCAATCTTTAAGTATTCCATCTCAGCTTCGTCTCTAATCACATAAATTAAATATGAGAAAGGTAACTTCATCCACCCAGCATATGATATACTTCCAGTCTTTCTGATTGTGGCTTTCATTCCCCCCCCCCCTCCCCTTCACGAATACATCTTAGTCCCTTTTTAAAAATAATTTTTTCTCCAAACCCTTAGTATGCATCGCTCTTTAATGAGCTCCCAATCTCAGGTTTTGCTGGCAACCTTTGACAATTTATATGTCTTTCAGAGCAATAATTTTTCTTTTCTGCCCTTGGATTGACTAGGCAAGCATGAGTGAGTGAACAAGCAAAATCAGTTTAAGACAACTTGCCAAAGCCAATTTCTGATTAAAGTCTGAGATCAGATTGAACATACCTTCTCATTCCTTTGTGTTCAGCATACCATGAGGTGATTCTCTCTTCCCACATGTCTGAGGTCATCTGATATTGGTCAATAACCTGAGAGTAAAAGAGGAACAATGATTAAGGTGTAACCTTGACCATGAAGTATCTTTTACAAGCAACTTTCAATTATTGCAGGTTCTTAGGCAGGTACTATTTAATCCTATCTATACACAAACAGTTTACAAGACTCAAAAAAATAGTTCTCATAATCCAAAATTCCCACAAAAGCCCAATGTTTAAGAAAAACTAATCACTTACAAGAAAGTCACTTAATTTGAAAGTCAAAGAAATTACAGGAGTAGTCATATGTGAATTGGGTGCACTAGTACAGTAGTTATATTTGATGAGTATAATTATTTTTAGGACTGGAATTCCAGATTATACATCCATTGTCCTGACCATGAGGCCAAACCTCCCCATTCCTGTCAAAAAGAGACATATTTGTACTAACCCTCTGTGGTAGCAGCAAATCTTTTGCCAGAAATCCTGGTGTGTGGAACTCTTTGTCATAATCCCCATACTGGAAGAAAAAGTTGTATTAATTACCATGTCAACATTCTAAACAATAAGCTACTCTTAAACATGACAAAATCACAGTCACAGCCAGTGTCCTTAAAATTATGGGAAGTAAAAAGATTTCTTCATTTTCTGAAAAAGTTTTTTATTTACTCTTTCCATATCCTTCAATAATGTATTTTCAAACTACATTATAAACAGTGGTTGGGGAAATTTAAATGCCACAATCCCACAGTAATATTTCTATAAGTGGGTGAAGGTAAATCATTACCTTAGCCTGCACAGCATATGAAGCCAGCAGAACAGAAGCCTCTGGGGGACAGAAAATGTCCATATTTAGAATGGCCTCTTTCACTTGTAAGAAAAACAAGTGCTGAGTGATTTCTTGCATCAGCTCTTCTGCCACATCCTCAGGGAAGAACTTAATGCGAAAATTAAGGCTAACTGGTTCATCCTTCACCACTGGAATATCTTGATCTAAAACCTTTTGAGATGAATAAACAATTTAAAAGTATTTTAAAAGTGCATCACACCAGTTAAGTCACATCAGTTTTAAAAAAGGTCTCCCTATTATCAAACACTGTTTCTCATTTTAAGAATCTGTCATTGTAAATTATAGTCACAAGGGCTGGCTTCAAAGAGATAGTGACATCACTTGCTTATGAGTTCAGTTTTGCCATGTGCAAACACAGCTGACTTAGAATGTAGGACAAGATTTTGTGTCGTGGCAAAAAGTCTAGACAATAAATCATAGTTAAAACAACTCAGATGTCTTTTTGAAATGAAGTCATAACAATTTGCATGCTGCATTTAATTGAAAAATAATATTAGAACTTTGAGAATAAGGGCAGGAGTTTTCAACGCAGATTGAAGTGCTTTAATTTATAATCTAAGTTAAGCCGAATGCTACATTGACATACAAATAGTTTTATTAGACTTTTGACTGGCATGTTTATGACAGATTACTACTTTCAAATATTCAAGTCAGAAGAGGAAGTAATTTCCTTCTAAAAGCAAAACCATATGTATGAAAATTAATTAAATTCTACTTTAAATGCATCCAAACACTTCTAAGGCTTCATCACATAATTCTCATTTTCTTAAAATAATTTCATTTAGTCAGTTGAATTATGCTTAAAACAAATAGATTTTAGAACGGCGGTTGGCAGAAGTTGGGCTTTGTTCCATTCAGGGGGCAGGAGTGGAAAGTGCTCGTTCGAACAAGATAAACACAATCGAAAAATAAACATAAGTGACGGCCACCTGCAGTGTACATGGAATCACTTAGTCCTAGTTTAAGCCCAAGCTCTGTCTCTTGAGATCGTTCTGAAAATCTAAACTCAATTCAAAACGGCTTTAAATATGGTTCTTTGATATATCATTAACTCAGCATGAAATCGGTCGAGCGACTAGCCACTAATTTGAAAGCAGTCACTTCATTATCAAACTACATGTTATCGAGCGCTGCGAGCATCACAATGATTTTCATTACTAAATGAACTGCATCGAAAGAAGGGAGTGAGAAAGTGTGAATATCAAGTTACACAATTAAAAAACAACTAATGGTTTTAAAGACTCAGGGTGTGACTCAACCCGTCACATCTGTACTAATTGAACGTGAACGTGGGAAGTTTCTATGAGTTGATGAGCAGTCGATAGAAGATACCGGTAAATATTAACCGTAAGTTACTCGCTATCTTTATGTGTACACCAGGGCGAAGGTTGATGAACTGCGACTGAGAATTAAGTGAAACCTATTCAGTTTCGATCAACCAAATCGCCTTTAGGCCAACAATTGTTTACTTTATCCACACTTACCTTCTTGTTGAATTTTAACCATGTAACGATGTCTTTCTTGTCTACAAACTGCAAACCGAAATACCAAGTTTCTCGCACGCCTAATGTTCGCACAACCAGATCAAACAGATCCTTTCCAGTGCAGTTCCTCTAAAGGAAATACAGACGAAAAAATACATACGTTTACAAAGGAACAGTTTTAACAGAGAATGAAGCAAATTTAGATTTAATAGATCTCATGTAAACTTCAAAATGTTGTCAACATATCAACCTCGACAGAAAACTCTAACTCTGCATCGAGAGTTGTCACGCGAACATCGTACGTCTTCGGCATATTTTCGCACCATTTGGGGCGGCCTCACAAAGAGTTAACTGCACTTCAGTTTTCCTGAAAATCCACTACATCTCATGGGGATTTTTTCGACACATATTCGTGCTATGTTCAGAATATCTAGCGTGCCTATCGTGCTTATCGCCTATCATAAACATTACTTCTCTGCAGCCGCTGACCGAAGCCCTCTATGTCATGTAGATGACCTAAAATGTCTATTGAAGCGGTAAAACTACGTCAGAGGGTAGTCATCTCGCCCATAGTCATGTTGCCCGAGATTTTGGTTATGTCACCAGAAAAAAAAAGTCAAGTCGCCCGAAGAAATAGAAACTAAAAAGATCAGAATTTCAGACTGTAAAAGGCAATAAAGTTGAGAAATTTTTATCACTAACAACAACAACAATTTATTCATACCCAAATATGATACAATAATAATAAAAAGAATATATCAATAAAAGATGTAGAGGAGTACTAGGTGCCCCAAATAACCATAAGGGCTAGAAGAAAAGGGCAGCTATACTTAGGTAATTTATCTAATACAATGATTTGGGTCAGATATAAGATACACACACACACACACACACACAGACATAACATACACACACACACAGACATAACATACACACACACAAAGACATATACACACACACAAAGACATGCACATTCAAGGTCATACAAACAAGATCAAAAACGCTGTGAAAATCAGAGTAAAGAACGACAGAAGGCTACGGAAATTATTAGAATTTTTCAATAAGGATTAGCTTAAGGTTTTTCTTAAAACTTTTCAAAGGAAGAAGCTTTATGTGATCACTTATATCATTCCAGACTTTAGAACCCTGAAATCTTATATTGAAAATTCCATAATTTGTTCTGACTTTTGGAATAGCATAGGACATTTTACTAGATAATCTGTTATTATAATTATGTATTATAACAGAATTAAAGTAAGGATCAAAAACAGGAGGTAAAAGATTA